TCTCTCTCTCTCTCTCTCTCTCTCTCTCTCTCTCTCTCTCTCTCTCTCTCTCTCTCTCCTCGACACCCTTGGTATCTTCCGTTGATGCGGCAGTTGATGTGTCGCCGGCTGTTCCATCTTCCGGCCTTCATCCTCCTCGTCTAACTGCCGGATGTAGAGGATCATATCCTCCAAGTCTCTCTTCTCCTTCTCCATGAATCTCCAGGTTCAAGGAGATACCTCACTTCTTCTTTTCCGACTCTCCTTTCGACACAGACGTGCGTGATGTTCCACCCACCATTCATCGTAAGATGATGATGACAAGTCTGACCATTCGTCGCAAGATGATGATGACAAGTCTGCATCATCGATCATCCTCCTCTCCCAAGGGGAGAGAGCGTGGGCCAGAGAGAGAGAGAGAGAGAGAGAGAGAGAGAGAGAGAGAGAGAGAGAGAGAGAGAGAGAGTTATCTAGGACCCAGTAATGAGCCTGATAAGTCCGGATCACACAAAACTGCTACGTGGCACTATTCTCCCATGGAGACAACGAAGACAATCACCAGGGAACAGTATCGACGCCAATCTCAAGTAAGTAACCCGCTCCTCTATCTACCACACATCCTGATCCTCCTCCTTGTCGCAACCAGTCAGCTCATGTAGACAGCGTGGTCAGTGCCACATCAGCAGTAAAGACAGGTGGCATGCGCAACTCCCTCAAATCTCTAGCATAGCACAACTCCTTTAAATCTGGCGCACAAGTGCACCAACACTTCCACACTCTCATGCGAATGAGCATCTATGGAAATGGGAGGCTGGCCAGTCTTTTATGATGCTGGACTGGTCTGCCTCGGCCAGCCTCTGACCGAAATGTGCCTGGCAGCCTGGGACCACATGCCCACTGCCTGTTGTCGCGAAGTGTAGCCCCAATACCTTTCCCATGGTAACCTGGGACCGCATGCCCACTGCTTGTTGCTGCGAAGTGTAGTCCCAGTACCTTTCCAATGGTATGCTGCTGCTGTAGCCTCTTGGGCCTGCCTTTTGGACTTCTGGTCTGACTCAAGACCTGTCAGTGACCTTAGGGACTGAGACTAACTATGCCTGCGACCTTTGATTATCTGCCGAATAGACGTGACCCTTGCTGTTGTGGCCTTTCGGGCCTGCCTTTTGGACTTCTGCTCTGACTCAAGACTTGACCTCTGGGACTAGGACTAAGTCTTGAGTTAGACAAGAAGTCCAAAAGGCAGGCCTAAAAAACCACAGCGGCAGGGGTCACCTTTGTTCAGCAGATAGTCAAAGGTCGCCGGCGAGTCAGAACATAAGTCCAAAAGGCAGGCCCAAAAGCCCACAAGAGCAGGGGTCATGTCTGCTCAGCTGCTGAACAGACGTGACCGTGACCCTGCTGTTGTGGTCTTTTGGTCTGCCTTTTGGACTTCTGGTCTGACTCAAGCGTTCACCTATGGGCCTGCGACCTTTCACTATCCGCTGAACAGACGTGACTGAGAGGTGGCAATTCGGATTTGTTTGAATGATTGAAGCTTACCTACCCATGCCCTCTTTGAAAACTAACCACTCGTACCCACTGTATAGATAGCCTACCGGACCTTTACCCATCCTAACCTACTAAAAACAAAAAAAAAGTCTACCCGTACCTGCCCTACCTGAACCCCTTCAGACTGTAACTGTCCATAACTGCCCATGGACTTTCTGTTTCAAAACTACCCATGACCACCTACACCCAAACCTTTTGTTATCCACCTGTACTGTACCCGACCAATTTTTTTCCCACCCCGACCCAGCCGTGCCCACCCACAATTGAATGCACCCGCCCATACTCACTTGCCCAGTACCCACTTGTGTTGTACTTCTAACGGGGTTTATGGGGCGTCGGCAAGGTGCGCGGTCGGGGTCAGGGCACAGACCGGTAGGCCAAACAGTCGGTGCAGAGGTTGGAGCGTGGGCGAGCAGTAGTAGGTGGCATAGGACATTCTTGGTGGTGGCAGGCGTCGCCCGGCCTTTCCTTTTTTAGGTTGGTCGTCGTTTTGATTTTGAGGTGGACGAGTTTTTTTGGGGGGGTGTTTTGGGGAGGGAGGGGTTTTGTTTTGTTACTCTGAATGGCAACGGCCTGCGACTTATGAGGGGGTGCATACGAGGATGATGGACATTATCTACCACGAGATAGCAGCGCTGATAGCCCCTAAAAAGGCTAAGTGGTCAGAGACAGGGTGCACATTGATGACAGACGAAGCGACGGACCAGCGGAACAAGCCCATAATGAACTTCATCGCAGCAGGCCAGTCTGGTCCGGTACTCATCCGCACCATTGACATGTTGAATAGGGAGAAGGCCTCCGCCAGCCTTGTGGAGATATGAGAGGGGGTGATTAGAGATATCGGGGTCGACCAGGTAAACGCCATTTGCACTGACAACGCGGAGGTCATGAAGGCCGCAACAACTACTCTACAGGGTCACCCGGACGCAGTGATTGCACGCATCCCTTGGGTCCCTTGTGCAGCGCATTGCCTGAGCTTGCTGCTCAGAGACATTGCTTCACAGGATTGGGCATCACCAATCATGAAGAGGGCTCACAAGATTGTGAAGTTCTTGAGGAATAAGCAAAGGGCAGCAGCGATTCATCGGGACAAGGCGAGAGCCTTAGAACTAACCCGGCCAGCTGACACACGATTTGGGACAGCATACATGATGTTGCAGAGGCTATATGCGCACAGGGAGGTGCTGGACTCTGTTGTATCATCAGATCGCAGGAAGAATGCACGTTGGACAGGAGATGCAAAGAAGGATGAGCCGTTCGTGCGGAGGATGTGCAGATTGCAGTGGTGTTGGGATCAAGTGAAAAGTTTGATGGATGTAAATTCTTGAGGGATATGGATGGGTCGTCTCCTCCTGGATTGTGGGATTTGAAGTCCATGTTGGAGAGGAAAATAGTTGCATTGCAGCTGGATGAGCAGCAGAGGACACTCGTCATGGAGAGGGTTGTAGACAGGTGCGCCATGATGCGACAACCTGCACATGCCGCAACATATCTCCTAAACCCTCGCTGAGGCAATATCTCTTTGCTGACGGATCGCGGGTCGTCGGTGGTGCAGAGCACTCTTGAGCACTTTGCGTGTTGTTCGGGACCGGGTGTGGAATGGAAGGCAGACATCATGTAGGACTTGTGGCATGACTTATGCACTTTTCATTGTGACGACCCTAGGTATTGGCCGGTAGAGGGACCACAGTGGTGGGACGGGTTTCAATTGCCACAGGTGATGCACCCAGCGTTGTGGTGGCACCTTCACGGCAGGGGTGCTCCGAAGTTGCAAGCGATAGCGAAGGCCGTGCTTGGCATGTGGTCCACCACGTCTCCATGCGAGCGCAACTGGGCTACACACGACTTCGTTCACACAAAGAGGCGCAACAGGCTTACTTCGGAGAGCGTGGAGAAACTGGTTTTCATCCACTGGAACTTGCAGCTTCTTAGCGCGAGCCGAAAGCCAGAAGGACGGTACATCGATATATGGGCAGACCAGTTGGAGGATCCACCTGTGGGGGTTGACGATGGTGATGTTGTGCCCGATGATGTAGACATGGACAAGTGGGAGGCTGCAGCTCGAGCCAACCGCCACAAGGAGGGCAGAGATCGCATAGGAGCAGAGCGGGGCCTGGAGGACGAGGAGGCAGACATGTCCCTTTGGCAGGATGATGCCTGGATGCACCGGGAGATGATGGAGCAGGCCCAGGCAGAGAGGAACAAAGGGAAGACAATTGTGGAGGATCAGCATGACGTCTTCGACGAGTGGGCGACCCTCAACCCCCATGGTGACCTCGACACTTACGTGGACGGTAGTTTCAATTCCGTCAGGACTTTACGAGAGAGGGTGGGGGGGCACGTGGACTTGGAGGCGCTGCTACAGAGAGATGATGATGTGGAGGAGAGGGAACGCTTTTACGAGGAGGTTTGTGCATCCGCTCAGCATGCAGGTGCGGGCATTGCAGGAATGTCGCGCGCTACCACTTCAGATTCCCATGGCCGAGGAGGGTGCACAACCACTGGCCGACCAGAGGGCGGAGCAGTTAGTGCGGGAGAGTATGGCGGCCATAGTTGAGCAGAGGGCGAAGCAGAGGGTGCAGTCGTCTGCAGATTGTAGAGTGTCCTTGAGGGTAGAGCATAGGGTGGATTACAGGATTGAGAGGAGGGTGGACATGACCGTGCACCAGGTGGTTGAGCAAACGACGTCAGACAGACCACGCTTTAGGGTGGATGACAAGATGGGTGAGAGTGTGGTGCAGGATCGGGGTGGCATGACTCAAGGCTCTTTCTATGGGATCCCACCACTTCCCACGCTTCCCGCACGAGTGCTCGACGACTTGGATCCACAGACACGTAGTGTGCGGACACCGTCCCGCCCCATTGTTGTTGACAGTGGGTCCACAGGAGTTGGGGGCGTAGTTGACTCATACTCTACTCGTGGTAGACCCGGGCAGCCTCCACCATCTCAAGACGTGCACACATTGCATGCATCGAGAGCAGCCTCCTCGTCGTTTGTCCAAAGATGTACGAGGATGCGGTCGTCTTCGACAAGTCACACCCTTGCGAGTAGTCCATTAGGCATACCCCTGCTTCCTCCACGGCGACCAGGTGCTATCATGGATAATGTAAAGACAAGTCGTGCCAACAGGAAGAGAAAACTGAGCGAGGATGACGGTGCCACAACTCCTGTTACCAAAAAGAAAGTGGGTGGCACCGAGTCGTGGTCGCCCACCTGGAAAAGGCAAGGGCACAGGGCAGGGCAGAGGTCGTGAGTCATGCACTATGAGCGCTTTAGGTGATGTGGGGTCCACCCCTTCTCACGTGTCACAGGCAGTGGGTCCACAAGGGGGCGCTACTCATGGTGTACGTACCCATTCTCGAGTCGCCGAAGACAGCACATCGAAACACTCTTCTCGCATCGTAGACGATGATCCTGATGAGGAGAATGATGCACTTTCATCAGATGGTATGTCTGACAGTGATTATGAAGAGGAGACACGTCTGAGGGGTGTAGATGAGGTCGTCTCTTATGACACCTTAGAGAGCGCAGATGACGCCGCAGAGTAGCAAGACGAGGGTCGCTGATGATGAATGGATGTGAGTGCGTGCGTTGTCTTTGGGGTAGGTCTGGTGTGGTGAATGCTAGTGCTCATCTGATTGCTTGACGGTTGTCTGGTGCTTTGCTGCGAGGGTGGTGGGAAGAGACAAACAGAGAGATGAGTGGGACATGCATTACATTGCTGTAACCTGTGTCATGCATTTGGTTATGAATCTCAGAATCAAACTTTGTGTACTTTGTCTCTTAGTCAATCATGAGGTCCATCAGTCAATCAGTTAGTTTGTTGGTCTTGCAGGGACTCATGTGCTTGTCTATATGTGTGTGTGTGTGTGTATGTGTGTGAGTGTATTTGTGTGACGCATTGAGAACTGTGTGCGTGTGTGTGTGTATGTTTGTGACGCATTGCGAATTGTGTGTGTGTGTGTGTGTGTGTGTGTGTGTGTGTGTGTGTGTGTGTGTGTGTGGGTGACCTGGAACAACTTCCGTGTGGCAGGTGCTGCATCAGCAGCACAAGCAATCCATCACCTGCTGCTTTTGCAGCAGTTGTATAGGACATTCAAGCAACCATTCAGTACGTAAACCCCCTCCCCCCCCCACCCTCACACCCAAGTTTTATTTTTTTTTTGTTTATGCTCAGAATGAGGTGGAAATTTTTTTTTGGGGTCTTCCCACATAGCGCAGCGACATTCTATTTTTTTTTCCCTCGTATTATTTAATTGAAAAAATCCAGTTGTCCGGGATCCCGAACAACTCCGGTCCCGGACATCCGACGGAATTGTCCGCCAGAGTCGTTCAAACGGCGGACAGCTGGTAACCTAGAAATTCACATAATATTTTGTGCAAACCAAAGATTGTTGTTTCTCTATTTTTCACGAATCCAATGTTGAACTGTTTTTCTCATGTTTTATCGAATCCTAAGTGACTTTTAACACCAGAGTTGTAGGTTTTTGAGTACACGATGGAAATTTGATTTATTTATTGACAAAAAAAATTCCCACATGGATAACAGTGTTATAGGGCTATAACTATTTCGAAAAGGGAAGATAAAATTAATTCCAATAGTTTACGAATTTATCTTTCAACTGTATGATTTGATAATAATAAATCATCAGTATAGGGCTATAACCTTTAAGATAGGAAATATTAAATTATGAAGCGATGAATAACAAAAAAAACACTTCGTACGAAAGTTTCATGTTAGTAGTGTGATGTGCACATTGCCTGATTTTCGACTATCAGAAACAACTACATTTCTTAGCAATCTCATGTGAGCAATGGAGGAACCGTAGAAATATCTCGACTCTTGACTTCGACGTTATAGGGCTATATCCCAGTTTTACAACACAGCACGACCAAAAACCCTGGACCGCAGAATGTGACGAAGTCGCGTGCAGGTGCGGGAAAGCGAAGTCATCCACCCTCTTCCCGTTCCCGCTCTGCCTGCTCGTGCCCCCTCGACTGCCGGATGTTCGTCTCCTCTTCCCTCGTGTGGATGAAGACATATGCGCCACACATCTCGAAGCACGCGTCAGTGGGGGGGGTGGGGGCTCATCCTCGTCGTCGTCGACGTCATCGCCATCGCCGCTCTCACTCTCCTCCTCCTAACCCTCCTCCTCACCCTCATAGTCCTCATCATCCTCCCTCCTCATCATCCTCCCGCACTGTCGGTGTCGTCTCAGGATCATCCTCCTGGATGGTGACAGGGTCGCCTCCCTTCCTCAACACAACAACCCTCGCACTAGCCTATGTGACCGTCTGCTGGCGGCGGGATCCACGAGGCATCCCCAACCCGTTCGCCCCCGAAGACTCTCCAAGTGCAGCGCCTCCCTGTGCAGGCGTGAGGTGTGGACGAGGCACTCCACGCTTGCGTGGAGTCTGGTCATGCACACCACGTATCGCTGCTCTCAAAGCATCGTCCAAGGTCTCTGTAGACACTCCTCCGCCTCGACCTCGTTGCGGCTCACATTCTGAACCTGAAACCTCCCTCGCTCCGGTCCCTCTCGCGCCCCGGGTTCCCAAGCCCGGCCGAAGGTGTGTCGTGAGCACAGTGACACGGGGGGTGGAATCCAAATCTATGTATGTCCTCCCAAATAACGCCGTGTTGCACACATCCTGCTGAACCGTTGTCGTGTCACGAATCCTTGATTGCCCGGGCGTGTGAGGGGATCGAGAGTCAGGGTCTGTCGGCGACGATGACAGATCACCCACACGTGGTCTAGGAGGAGGGGGTGGCATGTCTCCCGTACATGGCGCTCTCTCGTGCACGCTCCCATCAGCCTCCAGAACATCTTCCCTGTTGCGACCTCCGGTGGAGGTGGACTCGGACCACGCTAGCGACGCAGCGGCCTATGGAATGGAAGGGATCATCTGCCACTGCGGATGGGCGAGTTTCTGGTCAAATATCTGCTGGTCCAATTGAGTAACATCGACCACAGCGGCCGCCGCCAACTCCTCTGCATCCAATGGACGATGAACCTACTGAGGAGCCGGTCGTCTAGGCCACGGCCCACGAACGCACAACCAATGGCCCAAACCCCAAGTCCGTGATAACAACAAATGACACATCATGCACTGCCACCTCCGCCGGCTGCAACTGTCGGGCCTCGGCCAACTGCAGGCCCAAAAACGCGACAACCTGACCCGACGTTGTGTCATGAACTATGGCGCGTGAGTCGCCCGCCCCCCCGTCTCGCCTATGTCCAGCCTCCACAGCCTCGTCCACCGTTTGTGGGCCCCCAACCACAGCCTCACCCACTGTTTGTGGCCCACCGACCACAACCTTATCTACCGCCTCTGCTGCCACCGCCTTTGTGACGTCCGTCCGGACCGCCCCCGCCACCACCCCACCCTGCTGACCATCTCTCCCTGTCTCTCGACGCCTACGCTCCTCCAAGGCCCGTACGAACGTCTGAGCACGAGGGTCGCTGGATGCCATAAGTCGAGCCCTCTCTCGCTTCGTGATGTCGCGTGCCTCATCTGGGGACTCCGCCGCCGTCCTCTCTCTCGAGGTCCGCGAACCCGTCTCACCTGTCGCCTCGTCCATCGAAGGCGCTCGACCAATCGATGCCGCCCCACTGCAACTAGGGGAGCGCCCATCGGCAGGTCAAAGCCGAAGTGGGTCCCCATCTCTGAACCCGCACACCCTGTGGGAGGAGATATCCCCAGCCCCCTCGCCACACCTGGGGTAAACCCGCCCACCACTGGATCAACCTACTCGGTGATAAACTGTTGCACAAGGTGCTCCTCGGCGTCCACACCATCCACCTTCTCTCCCACCACAGCAACTCCAGCTCGCACCTACTCCTCCTTCGTCGCCACTCCTCTTACCTCCTCCCCCGCTACTTCTACCTCCGCCTCCACCGTTGGCGTTGCTGTCACCTCCACCTCCGCTACGGCTGGCCCCCGCACGTCCGTCGGAGTGGCACGGTGTCCAACCTCCTCCTGCAAACCCCCTGGGGAAGGTGATCGTAACCTCAATCGGCGAATCGTCATAGATCTCTGCAGAAGACCGTGCTGAGGCAAGGAGGGTGCCAACTCCTACGGCTCCACCTCTGTAGCGGGCCGCTGAAGTGGCAAAACGGGCGATGGTGATAAAAGACCCGGAGCTGGAAGTGGCGCAGGACTCGGAGCAAGAGGTGGCGCAGAACTCGGAGTAGTACGGGGCGGAGGACGTGGAGCAGGAGCTGGCGGAGAACTCGAGGGAGGAGGTGGCGCCGGACTTTGAGCAGGAGGTGGCGAACGACTCAAAGTAGGAGGCGGTGCCGAACTCGAGGCAGGAGGTGGTGCCGAACTCGGAGCAGGAGGTGGGGGAATGGACGACTAAGGCCTCGTCGTGGTAGGAGTCGTGATCCCCGCTTTTGCGTGGCTACTGCGTGCATGAGATCCCCCCACTCTCTCATTGTGCACATCATCTGTGGAAGCCACCTCCCCGAAAGGGGCCCAATGATCCTCGTCTCCCCCCATCATCTCCATCTCATCAAAGTACGCCCCTTGTCGTGTGGTGTATGTCCTCATCTCCGCGTCCTTGGCATCCACGTGCGCCTCGTCGATCTCATGAGCAATGGGGAGCGCAGGGTCATCTGCTGCCTTGGGTATCCGCTCGTCATCAGAGTCATCGTCCCTGGGGTACGGACGAAAAATGCAAGCACGCCGCTTAAAAACAGCAGTGGCAGGGGGCGGTGTGGAAACACCGATGGGATCGCGCGTAAGAAGCGCAACCCGCTGGGCAATCTCCTCTTGCGTCATCCCCTTCCACATGCCCGTGCGCACCGGATCCAGCTCAATGCCTGCCTGGCAGTCGAATATGCCCTCATCCCGCTGTCATGGCAGCACATAATCGCATCCCGCCCGCCGATACTCCGCCAACCGCACATTTGCGGTGATCTCAACGAGTTGCACGACCTTCTCGAAGGCTAACTGGTTGCGCTTCTTCGTGTGGATGCCCTCGTGAACCGCCCAGTTCCTCTCCACTGGAGAGGTGCAGGACCACATGTTCATCACACGAAGAGATCACCACTGCAACTCAGGCGCGCCAGCCTCGTATTGGGACCACCAAGACGCGCACTCGATCGTCTCAGCATCACCGCTACACTTACGCCCATGAGCACACCCCTCCGCCCCACCCCAATCACCAAACCTACCCTGCTGCATGTGAAAGTCCTCGAGTTGCTGACAGGCAACGATGTAATCCGCACCCTCCAACTCGAAACCCGTCTGCGTCAAAATCTACCTCTTGGCTTGCCTCACAAGCCAAGCATGGTAAGCCTTTACCTCGCCAGAAAAGTAACGAACATGTTGCTTGTGAGGGTTCAGTAAAAACCTAGCGCAGTGAGCCGTCTCAAGCATGTGATGTGTGCGGGCCTGCACACACCTGATGATCTTGTCCGCGAAGGACTGGCCCAAAAGAGCACATGCGTCCTTCACACAGTGGACAAGATCATGTGCCCACTCGACATGAGCGACATGAACTGCCCTCCACGATCCATCCGCCTAAGCAACCGCATGACGGGCTCCATAATATGGATGATGGTGGCAACCCTCTGCCATCAAGGATCCCATTTAATCTGTCGGCGCACCCAACGCGTCATCTGGCACACATCGGCAGACCACGGGATGGAAGCAAATGCCCGCGAGTCGTCCCCTCATATGATGCCCTGCAAAGTGTCTTGCAGAGCCAGCAGCCTCTCCAACATAGAGTAAACAGACGCGAACCGTGTCTCGCAGGAACGAATAAGCCCCTTGTAGGGGTTGTGCCTCCTAAAAAAAAAAGGGCGGCCTGGTGGGTTTTGAAAACACCACCAGCACATGAACGCGTATGATTGCGTCCACAAACACGTCGCAACTCGTCCCCATGTCTGACAACAATTTGTTGCAGACATGAACGGATCACGGGAGCCAAGTGATCCTCCTCAATGCAAGAGGCATGGTCGACGAGGCCAACGCCCTTGCAGCCCCCACGTACGTTGAAGTGGAGTCAGTGCAAATCGCATTGACCTGCTGCGGTCCACCGAACCTGAACTCGTGAAAGATGGTGTCCCATCTCTGAAGGACGTGCACTGCATCGTCCGGCTCCCCCTCTCGATTGATCGTCATGTACATAACAGCCCCTCGCGAGCGTGCATCAAGGAAATTCGCAATTGGTCTCCCGTCTTGTGATTTCCTCCCGTCAAAGAGGATGGTGGCACCAGTCACCCAGAATGGTTGCCTCACCTCCTCTAACTCCTTCGCCAACTCCGCATGGTGGGTCTCCACCGCATGCATGCTGGGAATCTCGCTGTGGTTAGGGAGCACAGCGCGCGGCGAACTGCAAGGCTGCTCAAGGAGCATCTGTTGATATGCCTTTCATGCCTCGTGGCGGAAGGCATTGAAGGCCACCCCGCTGGAATAAAGCGGGTGGAGGAAGGCCTTCTTGTGGCGAGCAACCCACACGCCACCGTAGACCTTAGTCACCTTCTACTGCCGGAGCCTCTTTTCAGTGTGGGTAGCAGCCGGATCAGCTCCTCCTTCCTTCCTCTTCGAAGGACCATCCTCCCTCAGACCACTCGGTACAGGCACCGCACCCTTGGCTGCTCGCCACATCCAGTCCACCATCCTCTCCCAAGTGGCTGGATGGAACTCTGGCGCGTCCTCGTGTCCCAAGAGTCCCTCCTCGCCCAGGCCACGAGCCTCATGATCGATGTGGATCACGTCCTCCACCATGTTCCCGCCTCCACCCCCCGATGGGCGGTCGGACGCACCCTGGCCACCATCTCCCCTGCCCCCTCCCTCCAGACGTTGTTCCGCCTCGCCTCCCCTTGCACCACCGGCCCGGGGCGCATCGAGTCCACGCTCCACAGCGCACCAGGCAACCCTCTCCATCTGATCAAACATGAACTTTTGTTGAGTCTTTCGTGTGATCTCGTAAAGTGCCTCGTCGTTGACGTCCTTGCAATACTCCGTCTGACTAAAATGTCTCGTTGCCTGGTACTGAGTCCTCTGGAACACTTTGTTGCAGAATGTGCAACGCGACATTATGACCTCCTTGTTGTCGACCTTCTGGCCGACGACAAGGTACCAATACACAGGGGAGCGACCCCTGAGTGTCTCCTGCACATGTTCCGGAGCGGCCTCATGTTGCCGCCGCTGCACCCTCCCCATGGTGACTGTCCTTTTTCACGCTCCGAAGCGTCAACCCATAGTCCTTCCTACGATGCCTCACTAGCCCGCACGAAAAGCGTCGCGCAGTGCCCCAACGCCGACCCGCTCCAACCACAGAGTCGCGCGAACACCCACCGATGCCCGCCCACCCCCCACGGACTCCCCCAATGTCGTCGCCCCCCTCCGCACACAGTCGAACAACCCCAGGCCACTGCGTTAAATCCCGTTTGATGTCGTTGAACCACGTTAAAACGCGTTCAATCGCGTTCAACGCCATGGAATTAAAAATTCAACAGTGTTGTTCACAAACGTCGTCGGCGACGCACGTCGTTCCCTGTCCGCCTCGCTACTGCCAGGCCGCGCCTCTCTGTCGTCATCGTCGCTGTTCCCTCTCTCTCGTTCGTCGTCGTCGTCGTCATTCTCTCTCTCTCTCTCTCTCTCTTTCTCTCTCTCTCTCTCTCTCTCTCTCTCTCTCTCTCTCTCTCTCTCTCTCTC